ACAGGCTTTTCTTTGCTGCCTTCCTTACTATCAAACTTCTGACCATTTGTTTGTCCTATCCACATGGTATGTATAGTTGCAGATATTAAAGTGAGTATGCTAGAAGTGATTTTAAAAAAAGGACACAGCAGGAGACCACTGAGAGACCACTATAACAGGGCTGGCCAAACTTGCTTAACGTAAGAGCCACACAGAATAAACGTCAGATATCTGAGAGCTGCGGTGGCTCAAGTGGTTAAGATGCTGAACTGCAGGCTGTGGAAGGTCAGTAGTTCAGCAGTTCGAGACCCGGGTGCAGCATTATGGAGTGAGCTCATGTCTCTAGTTCCAGCTCCTGCCAACCTAGCAGTTCAAAAGCAAGGAATTGCAAGTAGATAAATAGGGACCAGTTCGGTGGGAAGGGAACAGCGTTCCGTGCGCCTTGGTGTTTAGTCATGCCGGCCACATGACTACGGAAACGTCTTCGGACAGCGCTGGCTCTTCGGCTTTGAAACGGAGATGAGCACCGCAACCCTAGAGTCGGATTCGACTGGCTTTCGAGCAAGGGAACCTTTACCTTTATCTGAGAGCCACAAGACTTGAACAAATATTACACACGTGTCTTTACTAAAATAATGCAAATTTGCTTTTTATTGACATTAAATGAGACTGCCAAAATAAATGTATTCTCCAAAAAACTCCACACACCCACATGCCAGCCAGCTTGGCTTGAAGAAGGGATTTAAAGAGACAAATGCGTCCTCCAAGGTGGCCAGTGTGTGGGGAGGGGACTTTGAGAACGCTTTTAAAGTTACTGTCTTTCTCTGCTCCCCCCCACCTCAAGCCTACCCAGGGAGGGGAACACTGGCTGCAGAAGAGAAGACCGATTGGGGAGGCACGCCTCCCCTTTGCTTCCCCAGCTGCCCTGCCGGGAGCCGCACAATAGGCGTAAAATAGCTGCATGTGGCTCCCTGCACTATAACCACTGGCCAACTCCCACCTTTTCCAGGGTTTAGCCCAGCCCAGGGACATTGCTAGGGGGGTTCCCAATCCCCCCCCCCAAATTTCTGGGTAGCCCCTTCCTAAATCCCACATGGCTCTGGCTCCAGAGATAGTGATAATGGCCTATGATGTCACTAGCTCCTCCCTATTATGTCACTGGGCCTCGGTTCTTTTAAAGACCTAGCATAGCAACGCTTCTGGCCCCCAGCCCCCCCCTCCAGAAACTGGAAAGTCTACGCCCCTGCTTCCAAATACTAGCCAGGGTCGACCCTGCTTAGCTTCTGAGGTCTGATGAGACCGGGCTAGCCTGGGCTATCCAGGTCGGGGCAGTGGTTAGGGTGTCAGGCTAGATCTGGGAGAGCCAGCTTAGAACCCCCCTGCCCTGCCATGGAAGCTGGCTGGGTGAGCATGGGCCGGTCAGACACTCTCAGCCTAACCTACCTCCTGGGGCTGTTGTGCGGAGAAAATGGAGGACAGGAACAGGGGTTATTTCCTGCACATTATGCAGCTAGCATTGATGGACAGAGTACTCCTGTCGTTCTCAAAGCTGCACCCATCCATGAATGTTAGATGCATAATGTGTCTTTTGTAGGACCGGCAAAAAGCATCCACAGAAGAAGGTTGTCCCCCTTTTTGGAAGACTTCATGCAAGGAGAAGTGGGCTTATAATTCTAGAAACTCCCGTTTGGGCTTGACTTTTAAAACACTGATGCAAAATAGTCTGGTAGTTAACA